CAGAGGTCGCAGACCTCTGGAGCAACTAGGGGTTAAGTGTCTTGCTCAGGGACACATTGGTGGATGGGTCACCATGGGGATTGAACCTGGGCCTCTCACACCAAAGGCACGTGTCTTATCCACCTGTTTAACTACTTGTTTTTAATATTTCCACATGACAGGTTGGTGGTGATGTCCCAGAGACAAATTATCTCTTCATGGGTGACTTTGTGGACAGAGGCTTCTACAGTGTGGAGACTTTCCTTCTTCTGCTAGCTCTTAAGGTACATATGAATGTGTTGTTTTTTTTTTTTTTTTAGAAAATTAAACCAATTCCTTTACTGCAAGTTTTAAAATGAAATGGTCATAGTTGAGATGCCACACGAGAAGCAGCTGTGTGTGTGTGTGTGTGTGTGTGTGTGTGTTGCCTGTAAATTCTACTTGAAAGAACCTTTTTTTGAATCTCTTAAGGTTTTTAGGTTATGCACAGGGCCTGTGAAACCCTGTTTTCTTTACATTCTTGCTTTTGATGCATTCCTCAGGTGCGTTATCCAGACAGGATAACCTTGATCCGGGGAAACCACGAGTCCCGGCAAATCACCCAGGTGTATGGCTTCTACGACGAGTGCCTCCGCAAGTACGGCTCAGTCACTGTCTGGAGATACTGCACCGAGATATTTGACTACTTGTCCCTCTCTGCTATCATTGATGGCAAGGTGAGAGACATTGTTCCTTCAAATTTAAAAACAAACTGGGACTGGAATGTTTCCATTGAAGGTGTTGCAAGTCTAATAACTGGTTGAGCAACTTATCAGAAATAACTTTCTGAGATGCCATTATATAAGGTCCTTAATCAGTTGGGTTGATGCACTCTTCTCTGTCATTCAGATCTTCTGTGTGCACGGTGGCTTGTCACCTTCCATCCAGACACTGGACCAGATCAGGACCATTGACAGGAAACAGGAAGTGCCCCACGATGGGCCCATGTGTGATCTCTTGTGGTCAGACCCTGAAGGTATACATCCTGTCAAGCCTTTTAAACACTGCATTGTTAATCTACATGCTTGTGAACATTCAAAGAAGTGGTATTTGGCATAATAAAGGGAAAACTGGCACTCACCTGATTGATCTTCTCTCCCCCAGACACCACAGGGTGGGGGGTGAGTCCCAGAGGTGCTGGCTATTTGTTTGGGAGTGACGTGGTGGCCCAGTTTAACGCCGCCAACGACATTCATATGATCTGTCGAGCACACCAGCTGGTCATGGAGGGCTACAAATGGCACTTCAACGAGACTGTGCTCACTGTGTGGTCTGCACCCAACTACTGCTACAGGTAGGTAGATACAGTGAAACTCATAGTTCCTGTTTGAATGGACATAATGTCAACAGCTCCATGTAGAAAGACTTAAGTATTTAAGTAACAATTACAAACACTGCTCAGGGTTCCTATGCAGTATGGAAAAGTATCAAAGTTGGTTTTAGTCATTTCCAGGTCTGTAAGTAAAACAATGAATGAAAGTATGGACTGAACGGCCACAGTGCTTTGGTTTTAATTGATTTGTATAAGCTACAATATTATTTCGCAATAAAATAGCATACATGATCAGAATGAAACCTCCATGTTGAATTTAGTTGCATACTAAATGTCTAGCCATTTGTACTTGGATATCAAATAGGGTCTGAAAAATCTACAGGAAAGTCTGGAGAGTATAGAATTTTGAAATGGAAATGTGTAGGAACCTTTACTGCTCCAAAAATGGATCAAAGTCAGTGTTGGTTAGCAGCAATCATTAGTGAGTTTTCAGCACTTTGAAATGTGCAGTGTTGTGTTCAGGCCGACGGTGAAAAAGCACAGCCCCCTCATTCATTTGAATGGATCCAGTCCATCAATGCAGCGGGGTACCAATTCAGGGTCGTCTGGCAAAACAAAGTTGAACCTGGCTCACCTTTTGCTGCAATGTCATCTGGCGCTACGTTGGCCAAGCAAATACATGCAAGAACACATTCCTGGTAGTTTACGTTGTCATCAGGACAAAAGTAAAATAATTCCAGCTGTCATACCTTTTTACAGATTTGTACAATCTCATCACAAACCGTTTTGCCATGAGATACACATTTCAAGTGTGTTAATCTGTTAGGCCAACAGGACTTCCTTTGATCATATTTCATTGTCCCACCGGTACATTAAACAACACGCCCCCACTAACACAGCCCTCTGTGCTTTTTTGTCCTATTGCTGTTCGTTCTGAATCCCCACTAATGCATCAGTGTGTGTGCTAAACTTAAATCAGTTACCCTCTTTGTACAACATAGCTCTCTCCTGTTAGATATGGCATTAGAAAAGATGTTTGCACTCATCATGCTGTAGTCCAAGCTAAAGATATAAAGGTTTTCTACACAGCCACTTTTCATGTCGTCTATCTCACACATGTCTGATGGAAGAGAAACACTCCATTTAATCTATCCAACTGTTTACACAGGCCGCATAAAACCCATGTTTCACTCACACTATGCATGTAATCACAGCCTGAAGCATATTTTTTGTGTGTTGGAACTGACCTAAATGCTGTCAATACTGTGTGTGAACAGATCCCGTGTAGACACAGATAAAAGCACTGAAGCCGCTGCAGATATGTCATGCAGTATGAATGTGCTTGTGCACATTGTGGCTAAGGTTGTTAGATCAACCAGTCGGTCAAACTGTTGCTTGTTTAGTTTTAGGTAATTGATTTAGTAATCAGTGTAATTATCACAAAACACATGTAGGTGTTTACACCTGATGTAAACACCTACAGCTAATGAAATTTTAAGACTGTAATAAAGTATAAACCAGTTTAAAGACACATGGCTAATTTTACATCACATTGAGTGAGTAGTCTGAGACGACTTTGTCTGTAACAAGTTCTTTGTCTCTCTCTGGACAATCAGATGTGGCAATGTGGCAGCCATCCTGGAGCTGGATGAGCATCTACAGCGCGAGTTCATCATATTTGAGGCAGCTCCACAAGAGACCAGAGGCATCCCCTCCAAAAAGCCAGTAGCCGACTATTTCCTGTGAAGTCTTTGAGAGGACAGCCATGATGTGTTGAAATCTTCAGTACCATTTCACACCAGCCACCCTCCATCCTGCTGCCGGGCCGTTCTGTCAGTCTGAACTCAGAGCAGTTAGACAAAACCTGCCAGACCCTGCGAAGCTCCGCACAGCTTCATCTTGGAAGAGCTGGATTTTTGCCGCACTGCCAAAGCCTGACAGAGCAGTCACTGTGAAAGGTGTAGGAGGTGAGGTGGATACTGGGCCCATGACTGTTGTCACTTCCCCTCAACTATATAAGATGGCCATTTTGTTTCTCCCCTCAGCCTCCTTCCATTTCTTTCTGTTCTCCTCCTCCATCACTTTCTGTAGATACAACACTCTCCCTCCCTGACTTAACCTCCACCACTCTTGTAGTATTTTTTTCATGACGGACATTGTCAGTTAGTTTTAGAAGTATCTGGAGGGAGTTCAAACTTTTTTCTTATTTTCCCAAAAATATGCAGATGTTGGAAGTTTCATCATTTAATGAATTCCTTCAATGCATATGTTCTCTTTGATTTTGTATAATTGTTGCTGCCAGGATTTAATGCAAAACGGCCTAGTCATCTGTGTCACTATTTAACATACCCAGTGCTGCTGCTCAGCATCATCACAAATAAATACCAGACATGTAATGACTGGCCAGCAGGAGTCACTATATTCTCCTTGTTTTCTCTCTTAATTACTTTTAATCTACAAATCTCTGTAGGTCTGTCAATTTTGATATTGTGAGAATAAAGTTTTTGTATCAATGCGGATTTATTTTCAGGTGTGGTTTAATGATTCATGCATATTAACCATTGTTGCATATCCACTTCGTTACCAGCACCATCATATCTTAAGAGCCCATAGCACCTTATTACACCACTAGAAGGTTTTGGCAAGTTATAAAAATTTTATTGTGAATGGTTGTGACAGGGTTTATATAAGGCCGTTTCAGACGGCTCGATCTGCGCTCCTCATCAACAGACAGGCAAACAAGCGCTCCGCGAGGTAACCATGGCAACATCTTCTGTGTAACAGGCGCGATCCTGTGAAACCGTCGCGGTCGTTCTCTCACGCACACTCCCGCCCGCTGCCAGAGTTGAAATGTCAAACTTACAAACCTACACACAGAGACTGATGTGGCTGTTTGATCAGAGTTTCCTGAATAATATAACTCTTTAACAGTTGGGCCACCAGGTCTTACACAGGCGACGACCTTTGCTGCTGTCTCTTATTCATTCAAAATAATCTAACTTTTACTGAACCAATTTGAAAGTTAGTAGTTATATTATTTAGTTACAGACTCAATTATTTCATCTTGCATGTTGCACATTTAGCTGTTGAGAGTTGAGCGATGGTGCAGTGGATTAGACACTTGTCTTTGATTCCCACTGCAACTCATCCACCAAATAAGGTATTGTCATGGGTCCTGCCGCTGCCAGTTTAATCGGGGTGTCTCTATATATTTTCCTGCTTTTTTGCCCTTTGCCAATCACATGCCTGAATGATGTATTGAGCTCTCATCCCGTCTGGATGCAGTCTTACCCAATGCACATTACTAACTCGACATCTTCCCTGTCATGTAGTTTTCTCCCATGTTCCTACTGGACACCTGCTGCTACAGTTTCTTTTATTAGTGCTTTTATTAAGTTTCATTGATATCTGTATCATTACTATTGTTTAATATCTGGATCAGATGCCCACTCTTTGAATATGTATAGTATGTAACGCTTTTCAGGGGTTCTAGTTTTTAGGCACACTTTACCTCTACTGAACCTGAGTCATGGTTGAATGAGCAATGAAAGATCAACTGAAGTGACAGCCTATTTGAGTGAAGCCGCCATGCCAGAGAGAGGATGTAAAGAGAGATGTAATGTCATCATGCCACAGTGGTAAAGATAAGTGCTCTCTCGCCTGACAAGTTTTAAGGCTAGTTTTTCAAGATCAGCCGAACCCATCCCCCTCCCATTTCAAGAGCTCCAAAGTGAACCGGTAGTTAAGAAAAAGGACAACACCCGGAAACATTAAATCGCTCCCTACCTGTCTCCAGCCTTCAACCGGGACTGGGCTGCGGGGTTGACCAACTTCAAGAGTTACAGGTAGGTTCAACTGCAGGATTGCTTCATGATTTTAGTTTTTATTCAGTTTGCAAAATAACGTTAGCCTACTAGTTAGCCTATCGTGGACGAATAGTTTTCGTGGACAATTCCTGTAAATTCCAGAGACAGGGAAATAGATTTTTTCTGAGATTATCCTGCTACTTCTGCCAGTCCCTCAGGTAATCAACTTGCCAACATTACACGGCCGCTTGGTTTGGTCTCCTCCTATTGTTGGCTACACGCAACCTTACGGTTGAATGTAGGCTATAACTATAAACGTAATGTGAGTCAAAATGTGTCCGGCAATCTGTGATCTTAAAACCAGCTCATCGCCGCCAGTTTACCGCTTGTGGCACCTGAGACTGATGCGTGCCCTCGCTGTCTGACAGTGGTGTGTGGGTAGCCTCGTCCACATATTTACGATACCAGTAGCCTACCCATGTAAAATGCCATAGTGGTTAATTGGTATTATTGTTTTTATTGTCGTTATGGTCAAGCAATGTGATCTTTCTTTGTTTTCAAATAGCCCAACTGTTTTATATAAAATATTGTGAAATTGTATCAGACCACACTTCATCCTTATAAGTTGATACTCAAATACTCAAAAAAGGAATTAAATTCCTTGGAAGAAGTTGGCTAGGCCTATAAAAAATGACTAAGGAGTGGGCCTAAACAAGTTATTAAAGACTTTAATAAAGCAAAGAAAGGAAGAGAGAGCCTGCACATTCAGCTGATCACACCGACTACATCTGATAAACGGCTGGAAAAGCTGCTGCGCCACAAAAAGCCAGCCGCAGTGATTTATCTGGGAGAAGTGATGTCAGTTGCAAATAAAGATGTAGCCTACACAGTAGTGTTACAGGATATCAGAATATGAAACCAACGGAAAGCCATCCAGTCTATGGCTTGTGGTGATAAACTTGTAACAGTGCGGAACATGCCAGAGAGCAGATGCTGAACAAGGGCTTTTAAAAGCATGACAGGCACATAAGCAAGAAAAAGAGCCACGCCCTTATTTTTCCTGGGAACATCTTTAATGAAGCAATACTTAATATGCAACGATATTTCATTCATTATTCAACTAGCTTACTTTAAACTTTCTGACAAGCACTTCTTTCACAGTTATAAACACAAACTCAGAATAGCCTTGCTGAAATAACAATAGCCATTTAGTTTATAAAATGGGTTCTTCCTTTTCTCATTTCAAGTCATCAGAAAGCTGAGATTTATTTCAGTGTGTGTGTTCCAGGTGAAAGGATGGAGACCCAGAGGCAGGTTGTGGACAGGTTGGGGTCAGCGTTTCGTTCAGGCATCACAATACCAGAGCAGTTTCGTCAAACTCAGCTGACCAAGCTTATGTCCATGATCAAAGATAATGAGGAACGGATTTTAGATGCACTGCACAAGGACCTCGCTAAGGTATGCTCGCATCAGTACAACACACACACTCTACTTCCTCAACACAAAAATATGCAACCAAACAAACCCAAAGGATTAACAGCCTGATACTAACTGGCACAGCAGTTCTGTCTGGCCCTTTTCTACCCCAGCTGTCCTCGTGATGGTGACATTGAACATTTGATAAAGCCTGTAAGGGAACAGTCTGAAAGTAAAAGCTACTGAACATTTTCCTTATAAAAGACCAGTTATGTAATGTTTTCATTCCTCCTCCTATTCAACTTCAAACAATTTTTGTTTCTCCAGTTCTGATTTTGGGCTGAGTTTACACACAAAACTTTTTTTTTTAAACACATATTTAAGCTGCGGTAGAGAACACTGGAGAACTAAAAGACAGAAGAAGTATCCAATTAAAAGAGATCCCCTTCAGTCCTCCCTTCAAAAGCCACTCCCCAAAAACATGTTGATGCACAGTGAGTGCAGGAGTGACTGAGCTCAGGTAGACGGGCAGGTAGGCCTGCTTATTACAGTCCTGCCACAGCCACAGATACAGGATTTGTTTCCTTTTTTGTGTGGGAGCATTCGACTGATTGAAAACCATTGGAACGTAAAGAGAATTTACCCCCCCCCCCCTCCAGCTCTGGCAAACCAGTCATTGCTGGTTGACATTAAACACATCACTACTGGTTTGCTAGCGCGGGGACGCCAGCGCAGACACCACATTTAAAAACTCTGGGATACTGTGAATACAAAGAGATTAACCTGTAAAAGGTGCCTATGGTTGCATGCTCACGTGCAGGGTATTTGAAGCACAGTATATCATTTTGTGTGTTTGCTACAGTTCAGTAAGCTTTAACTTCCCTTTCTTATTGCTGTCTTTGCACATCAGCCAAAATTTGAGGCCGTCATGTCCGAGGTTGATATAGTGATCAATGACCTACACCACACTATTGCTAACTTCACAACCTGGATGCAGCCGGAGTATGTCAGCAAGAACCTGGTAGGTGTAACAATGATTTTATTACACTGGGTGTTGCACATATTTTTATCTACATTAAAGGGCTCAACAATGATCATCGATCAGTTATTTTTTAGAACGTTTTTATTAAGTATTTTGTCTGACCAATAGAAATGCCAATAAACTGCACTTCATGTTGATATTGGTTGAGGGCCCCTTTAGTTGCTATTGCTATTGCTATTGATATAAAGTTTTGAATAAACCCAAGCAAACCTTTAAAAAGGGTGGAGCAGGCAAATGTTTGCTAATTTTTACCTTTGGCAGTTGCACATTTGTCATTTTTTATATTTTAAAAAACACTTTTTCTGTTGAATTAATTTTTGATATTCCTCAATTTTCAGGCCACAAAGCTAGATGACTGTAGCATACGGCGGGAACCATTGGGAGTCGTGTTAATCATTGGGGCATGGAACTACCCCCTACAACTCACTATCTTACCAATGATCGGAGCCATTGCTGCAGGTATCATCCACACCCGTATCACCACAATATACAACTGACAGTGTACTGATAGTTCAGGTTTTTGAAGTGGCGCTGTATGAGGTACTTACCCATGGCCGGTGTATTCCCTGCAGTGGGGTGGTGGTCAGCGTGGCACCAGTTTGGAGAAGCAGAGAGTTGTACTGGCACTGAAGCTGAGCCAACGTACTGCTGTGGACAGGGTCAGCAGGAAAACAAATTTTAGTCATCTAAAAAAGGGCCCACCGAAAAATATCAACATCAGTTCAAGTGTACGCTATATGTTCTGATTATTTCCTGCGCTTTACCTCTTCTTAACCGTAGAGCTTCCGTATTTGTACATTTGTACCAAGCACTACTTGGTTGCATGCTCTTATGCATAGGAATCAGGAAGTTCCACGGTATCTTATATACCCGTGGTGCATTTCCTGCTCGGCAAAAACATCACTGACAGCAGTGAGAGTGGACCAAAACAGTGGAGATGAGCAAAACGCTCTGTAAAGCTGAGGGGAACTGCAGAGTTGGGGGTAATTCTGTGTGGGATCATCATATTGAGCGACTCATTTAACATACAAATAGTCATGTGATCCATGTTGGTGCAGCTTTAAGTTGAAGTACCACAAAGTTTGCAGATTTTTTTTCAGATTCTTCTGTAAATGTTTTCAACGATCAATTTGGAATCAGCAGCTACATTCGATACAAGTCGGATCCAGTTCAACACAGTCCGCAAAACCTCACAACGAGCACTCTTAGTAAACGTAGCCCTCATCGAAAAGGCTAAGGAGCTAGAATTGGGCTTAAAACTGCAGGAAGAAGCTGTAGAAACATGTGTAAGTGTACATTTTGTCATTCACTGCTGTCTACTGACTGGATGGTGCTGGTGTCTTTGACTAGGAAACTGTGTGGTCATCAAGCCTTCAGACGTCAGCGCCGTCACAGGCGCTCTGATTGCAGAGCTCATCCCCAAATACCTGTCTCAGGTAAAGCCACTTTTGAGTTTTCCCTCCAATATGTTTTTATTATTATTTTGTTTGTTGTTAAACCAACACACTCAGTTTTTGATCATCTTTCTAATCACAGAAAACTTGAAACTCGAGCTGTGATGTAAATGTGTTTATTCAGAAGGGAGCCGAGAACAGTCGAATACAGTCAATACAGAACCATTCAGTACTTTGTGGGAAGTTCATAAGCTTTTACATAATTTCCCTGTAGTGTCATTGAGGTTGGGATCAAGTGAAACACAGAATATTTCCATCCATTTGTTGAGGGAACAGACCGTTATAAGTAGGCTACATGAAAAGAGGAAGAATAGAAATCAATTACATATCCATGGAGCAGCAACAGTCTTTTTATTACGATCTTTTACTTTAAAATGTTCCTTATGCTCCCTACATGATGCTTGGCGCTTAATGTTCCGACATAAGGCCCAGGTTAGTAATGTTTTTAGCTCTCTTGTCGAAATAAGGTTGGGTGGTGACCCCATCCGGGACATTTTACAGTTGAAAAATACGTGTGCGTGAGTGTGTAATAAGCTAGAGATCGGCACAGTGGATCTGACACTTGCACTTAGATGGGACTCTCATTTTGGCAGGAATGTTACGCAGTTGTTTGTGGCGACGCAGAGGAGACCAAGGCCCTTCTGCAGAATCGCTTTGACCACATCTTCTACACAGGTAAACGCCTCCGGGATGGATCAGATCACTGCATGTCACATGTTGATCTGTGTAGTATCCGTCCAACACTTTCTTCCATAGGAAGATATCAGCCAGCTGTATTCTATTAATCTGGAGAAACTACATTCATGCTCACCAGAGGATGAATCCCTTCCTCTTTGTACACTGACTTCAGCTCCGACTTTTAGGTTCTCAGCCTGTGGCACGCACCATCCTGCAGGCGGCCGCGGTCCACCTGACCCCAGTGACCTTGGAGCTGGGTGGCAAGTGTCCGTGCATCATATACGGACGGGTGAACATTGAGGCTGCCGCTCGCCGCTTGGTGTGGGCCAAGTTTTTTAACCTCGGACAGAGCTGCGTGGCTCCGGACTATGTGCTGTGCTCACCGGCCACCCGGGACGCCTTGCTGCCTGCCATCCGGGAGGTCCTGGAGGCTTTCTATGGCAAGGAGCCTCAGAACTGTCCTGACCTGTCCCGCATCGTGACACCCCGACACTGGACTCGACTGATGGAACTCCTCAAGAGGTCCAGTGGCAAGGTTGTTGTGGGAGGAGAGAGCAACCTGGACGACAAGTACATAGGTGGGTTGAGAAGCAGGAGAGTGCAGTATGGTGGCATCTAAACAAGAGTGTAAAATGTGTATTGTTAGCACCATTTTTAAAAGAAAAGCCAAGTACAAGGTTTGATATTGTATACCTCTCTCCACACTTTGGTTCACGATAGTAAATAGTGCCCCAGAGCTGACCGGCTAATAAAATGATCTGGGCTGTGGAAATCTGAACTCTGTGACCTTAAACCTCACTTGAAGCCTGTTGTAGCAGGTTTAGGTGATTTTGCAGCTGGGTACATGCTGATAATTCCGTTACCTAGAAATGTGGGATCATACAGCATGATAACATTTCATAGTTTTTTGCAGAAAAGAACTGAGGTTCTGTATCATTCACATAGTGGCTGTAATGTCATGATCCACATGTATAATGATGTCCTCTGTCATTGTGCTCTCCACAGCTCCCACAGTGGTGGTGGATGTAGCTGAAGATGATGCTCTAATGGAGGAGGAGATTTTCGGCCCCATCCTGCCCATCCTCACTGTAGAGTCTCTGGAGAAAGGCATCGATTTAATCAACCGCAGAGAAAGGCCACTGGCCCTCTATGTTTTCTCTGATGAATCCTCTGTAAGGACACAGAACTCTGCATCACAGCTGTAGACATATTGTCTTGTATTTTGCATCACATTGATCTTTTTTTTTTTTTGGAAGGTGGTAACAACAGTGCTGGAAAACACCAGGAGTGGAGGATTCTGCTCTAATGACGGGATCGTCCACATGACCCTGCCAACCCTGCCCTTTGGAGGTGTAGGTAGGTGTGAACCTGGTCTAAAGCTTCTCCTACTCGTGTGATCATTGAGCCGCCCACTTTCAAAAGTTACCACTACTGAAGAGGGTTGAGGTTTTTTATATTTGGATTAAGACGCATTTCTTTATTTGGCTGTAGTGGAATTGAATCATTTTACTTCAAATCTGAAGTTCAGTCAGGTCAGAGAACATCTTCAGAGTGGCCTTGATGGTTTCTAAGTTATTTATAGGCTGATTTTATATAATGAAGAGAGACACTGGGACATGTTGCATGTTTTTTTGACTGGTGGAGATTTTTTTTCTCCCTCCAGGAGCCAGTGGTTGGGGCAGTTACCATGGCCGCTGGACCTTTGAGACGTTCAGCCACCAGCGGGCCTGCATGCTGCGTGGCTGGGCTTTAGAGAGACTCAACCGCCTGCGCTACCCACCTTACAGTGACAATAAACTGAGCTGGCTGCGCTGGACCACCTCGTCCAAAGGCAGCTGCTCACTCATGTGATGACAGGCAGGGGGAGCTCGTGTGTAAAGATAGTGGAGCTTTTTATACTGTGCAGTGAAGGTTGTGTTTGTGTGCTTGTGTTTATTAACACACTGTGTTTGTCCTTCTTTTCATCGTGCACGGTGATCTCCCAAAGCAGACCTTATGTAATAAGCTTGCAGGCAATTTTAATTATAATTTTGTATCTACAGGATCCTTCTTCACTCTGAGTTTTTTAGTAGGAACAGAACTTACAGAGCACCCAACACAAATTAAAACAAAAGTTTGTTATTTTTTGAATGAAATAATGTAATCTGTCTCATTTCTCAAATGCCAGGGATTTCACTGCTCTGCTTATTTTTATCATCTTGCACTGAAATCTTTACGTGTTCAGAATGGTGTTATTGTTTTTAATAACCTAATTTGAGTGTCAGTGTATTGTTAACACTTTCTTATTCACTAATAGTTTATTTTCCCTTGGTGTCTCAGAGACAGACGTGTTCTTGTCTGTATTTCCATAGTATTTTTCATGAAATACTGTAAATAAATTTCACATTTTACTTTTATTGCCAAATATAAAAGTATTTGAAAGTTGCTATTCATTTACAAAATATGTGATGCAGGTTATTCACCACCTGCACTGGACACTCAAGCAGAATCTCATTTGATGCAAGCTTAGATTCATTATAAATAACTAATGATACGTTTAGGACACATATTACTATTAAGTTTGTTATTTAGAACTAATAGTTAAGAATATACTGTAGATAACTAATAATATGTTTAGCTTATTACATTACTATTTATACATTTAGGTTATAGATAACTAATGATACATCATACATTGATAAGTAGTCTAAGTATTGTAGGTATTTAATGCTCAAATTCATATATTTCAGCATTTCCCATTTATTCAAAGCGGTGTTAAAAATCTTCTCGGCTTGTCGGGATCCAAGTGTATCATCACAGCCCTTATGTCCTCACCACCTTTCAACACAAAGGGACACCCTTGGACCCTCTTTAAAGTCCTTTCCTTCTGTTTCTGGGTCATAAATATGAGGTAAGCTCTTATACAGCACAGAACACCATTCACATGGAACTTAGAAAAGTAAGCAGTGGTTAGAAGTAACTACTGGTAATAATAATCTTTAGTTATTATTACAAAGTGCTTTACAAGAGTCAAATACAAGTTCTAAAATAATTTCTTTAAAACAATTTCAACCACTTAAAACTAGCTAGAACTAGCAGCAGTAGCAGCAGTCATGCTAGTGGTAATAGTAGTAGTATTAAGTTTGCACTGTATTAAAATGAAAAATTCTTGAACAGCAATGCATAAAAGTAATGATATTAACAGCTACAGTGTCAGTAGTAATACTGTAAATAATAATGTATTAGTAGCAGATGAGTGTCTTACTGGCTCCTCAGAAGCACAAGTACTAATTGCCAATAACTAACATATAGTTCAATTCAATTCAATTTTATTTATATAGCGCTAAATCACAACAACAGTTATCTCACAGCGCTTTTCATAAAAGAGCAGGTCTAGACCGTACTCTGTGATGTTATTTACAGAAGCCCAACAGTTCCCACCAAGAGCAAGCACTAGGCGACAGAGGCAAGGAAAAACTTCCTTTTAAGAGGCAGAAACCTCGAGCAGAACCATGGCTCAGGGTGGGCGGCCATCTGCCTCGACCGGTTGGGGTGAGAGAGAAAGAGAGAGAGAAAGAGAGTGAAAGAGAGAGAGAGAGAGAGAGAGGGATGTAAGGAGAGAGAGAGGGGAGGGAGGCAGCCTACACAATATACACACAGAGGTACAGACAGCGAAGGTAATGTTGCTATAAACTAAATGAAAAATGGTACAGATATTTATAATAGTGTTAATGGTAACCATCATAATGTTAATGATTATAATAACAATAATAACAATAAGACTAGCAACAATAGTCGTTGCAGTAGAGGGTGTCGAGCAGGAACACGGGGGCAGCAGGCGACCCGCAGCCACAGATCCAGACTCCACAGCTCCAGAGCCAGAAAACCTGCAGGAAGTGATAGGAGGAGAGAGGAGAGGGACGAGAAAGCACAAGACTACCGGAAAGGGGAGAAGTTGTGTTAGTAACATGCAATAATGGGATAAGGTTGCATACAGAGGGAGAGAAAGTAGAGGAGAGAGGAGCTCAGTGCATCATGGGAAATCCCCCGGCAGTCTAGGCCTATAGCAGCATAACTAAGGGATGGTTCAGGACTACCTGAGCCAGCCCTAACTATAAGCTTTATCAAAGAGGAAAGTCTTAAGCCTACTCTTAAATGTGGAGATGGTGTCTGCCTCCTGAACCCAAACTGGAACCTGGTTCCACAGGAGAGGAGCTTGATAGCTGAACGCTCTGGCTCCTAGTCTACTTTTGGAGACTCTAGGAACCACAAGTAACCCTGCATTCTGGGAGCGCAGTGCTCTGGTGGGGTAGTAAGGTACTATGAGCTCTTTAAGATAAGATGGTGCCTGACCATTAAGAGCTTTGTAGGTAAGAAGAATGATTTTAAATTCTATTCTGGATTTTACTGGAAGCCAATGCAAAGAAGCTAAAACAGGAGAAATGTGATCTCTTTTCCTGGTTCCTGTCAGAACACGTGCTGCAGCATTCTGGATCAGCTGAAGAGTCTTAATGGACTTTTTCGAGCAGCCTGATAATAAGGAATTGCAGTAATCCAGCCTAGAAGTAACAAATACATGGACTAGTTTTTCTGCATCATTTTTAGACAGGATGTTCCTGATTTTCGCAATATTACGTAGGTGAAAAAAGGCGGTCCTTGAAATTTGCTTAATGTGGGACTTAAACGACATGTCCTGATCAAAGATAACTCCAAGATTCCTCACAGTGGTGCTGGAGGCCAAGGCGATGCCATCCAGGGAAACTATATCTTTAGATAATGCGTCACGGAGGTGCTTAGGCCCCAGAGCAATAACTTCAGTTTTATCTGAGTTTAACATAAGAAAATTACAGCTCATTCAGGTTTTAACATCCTGAAGGCACATTTGAAGTTTAGCTAACTGATGAGTTTCATCTGGCTTGATCGATAGATATAACTGAGTATCATCTGCATAACAATGAAAGCTTATGGAATGTTTCCTATATAGTGTTTATATATATAATATATATTATAATATTATACCCTCATAAAGCCAGTTACTGCTCCTAGTAGCAGCAGCAGCAGTCACAGTGAGAATAATGTAGCAGTAACAATAGTCAAGCTACTTGCAGAGTAATAGTAATAATTCTAAGGTTGAATAAGCAACAGCACAGTACAGCAAGTACTAAAGTGTTTTTAAAGCTGTCTAAAATGTTGGAATTATAAAATAATCATTGCAATTTTAATAATAAAAATATTATCCCAAGAATGTTTAAATATCCAAATTATTTTTTTAAATGTCAAACCTAAATGATTGGTAAACAAACCAGGGAGTGTCTGACCCGTTTTAAACCAAGTCTGGTAATCAGCTGATAAGCACGTTCAGATAGAGGATGATCAAATGGTCATACTTCACACCAGTTACCCCCTCTGATTCCAAAGATCAGTACTTAATGCTGGAACAGGTGTACCTGATGTACCAGGAAATGTCATAATCCATTAGGACCCACGCACTATCATCAGACATTGTTAAATTTGCTAATTAGATTTGACCAGTTTATCTCTCCCACGTGAGTCTTGCATATGTGCCTCTAATTTGTTTTTTCACTTTCACATTGGTCACCTTTCAAGACTCCGGATATTTATCTGTTAACACTTCATACCATTTATAAATATCTTACTGAACAGACAAATAATTTCAAGTCTGCATCATTTCATGTCCTGTTTCCAGTTTTGTACAGAGGATGGTTGTTTTACTTGCATCAGTGAAGTCAGGGTCTGTACATTTCTGGTTTACATTGACCCGTGGAGTCCTGACATTACATTACATTTATTCATTTAGCTGACGCTTTTATCCAAAGCGACTTACAATCACTATACATGTCAGAGGTCGCACGCCTCTGGAGCAACTAGGGGTTAAGTGTCTTGCTCAGGGACACAATGGTGGTGGGGTCACAGTGGGGCGTTGAACCCAGGTCTCTTACACAAAAGGCTTGTGTATTACGTGTCTGTAAAGCCCATTTTCAAATACCTCCCGACCCAGCCGAAGGTCCCTTAGTAGGTGAGGAAAACTCCTCATAAATGGAAGAATCCTTCTGGATGGTTGTACAGTAAGGCCTGCAGACTTCACTGACTGGATTAAATACGGGGTCATCTCAATACCCCACAGTAGTAGGGGGCCAGGAACCTCTCACCTTTCCCAGCTTGGGATCATAACATGATACTACTTAAATAGAAGAAGTGTGGTAATGCATGTATTTAGGTATCAAAATGAAGAGTAAATTATTTTAGTTCTAAAATTAATTAACTACTAGCAAAACTAAATTTTGTAAAACTAAATGACAGAAAATGTAAAAGATCGCAGCCTTAAACCTGCATTTCTTTATTTTTGAACGGCATCCTTTAGACACCAGCATCATTCTGCATAAATTCAGTTACTGTGGATCTGATGTTCTTTGTATGACGGGATGAATGTGAGACAATTATGGTTTAAGAACAACAAGCAGTCCATGTTTTGTGAGCATGGTCACAAGGATCATATTTATTACAAATATGAGTATTCAAATACAGGTTATTCAGGTCCTCTCACTCTCCAGCGGACGCCTCTACACCAAGGAGGTCCCGAACGAGGTGGCCCCATAGTCTTAACAGGCTTCTCCTCCCCTAAATAAACTCATCTAAAGTAGAGCATCTTGTCTAGCTGTGCTCTCACTCAGCTGAAAGACTATGCCCCGTTTCTTTCAGAGAGGAGAAATTGACTACTTGAGTGTGGAGTCAAAAAGATGACCGATTACTGCAGACTGCTTTTCAGCCATCACTTCTTTGACTGTTGTGCATAGGAATCAACATCTCAAAAATCATTTTTAAAAACTGTCACTTTCTGATCACATGTTTGTCTACATGATGCCTGCACATGTGAAGAGTGTTGGTTAGGGGAAAACACACCACGGAGGCTCGGCCGTGTTCTCTGGAACTGCCGGGTATCCGATCCAGACAGCTCCGCTGTGGTGGGTTCATGGTTCAGGTTTGTATGAGGAAGGGGGGGGTGTCCCAGATGAGGCGTGCTCAGGGGCTGGAGACTCTGACTGTGGAGAGGGACTGGCTGTCGCTGCTGGCTCTTTCTGCACCAGCTCAGGCTCATCCTGGCCTGCCTGGGGCGGGTGGACTAGGACCCGGTCGATGAGACCAAAGTCCTGCGCCTCCATGGGACTCATGTAGCGATCCCTTTCCATCACACCCTCTAAAAGGCAGGACAGACAGAGAGAAATGAGCGCCCACTTACAACATGTCCATTCCAACTTACCACTGAAGCAGCTGATTCATTGAGGCCCTGAGCTGATCCTGTCCTCCCTCCTGTGAGACATGTTTAACTGCCACTCAATGGGCCACTGAAGAGCTGCAGGATTAAGTGTATAGAGTATAGTATCCTGTTCTGACAGGTAGCGGGTAAATGTGTGTGGGTTGAATCTATGGACAAACCCAACCGGCGATTGTCACCGAGGAGCTGAGCAAACCTACCGATGCGTTTCAGCGGCTGCCCCGTGTGTTTGGCGTAGATGCTATTGATCTGCCTCTTGAGCGTCAGGATCTCCTCGGCCTGGATGGCGATGTCTGTGGCCTGACCCTGGACACACAGCACTGATTATTATTTCTGGGGAATGATTACCTGTAAAGGCTTGACAACCTTGCTTTACTGATTTTCTGACTTTGTACTTGCCCACATGCACGATTTCAGATCAGTGTTAAAGGACCACCTTACCCTGGCCCCTCCTGAAGGCTGGTGAACCATGATGCGGGCGTTGGGCAGTGAATGCCTCATCCCCGACGTTCCTGCTGCCAGGAGCAAGCTGCCCATACTGGCTGCCTGGCCAACACACCAGGTGGAGATGGGATTAAGGATGTACTGCATAGTGTCGTAAATGGCCAGGCCTGCTGTCACCACACCGCCTGGAAGGGGGCGGGGTGGCGGGAGGAGGATAATAAATGGCATGAAGTGACTTGTTTTAAGGGCTCAGGCAGAATAATTTCAAATCAAAATTTAAACTCCTGAAATGGAAAATAGAAAAGCTTTAATTTTTTGGTTTCAGGATGTTTTCACGTTGTGGCCACTGTCCCAACCACAACTGCTTCAGAAATGTACCTTTCCAGCACTTCACTGATCGTCTTACCAGGACTGTTGATGTACATGTGAATGGGTTTGTTGTTGCTTTCTGACTGTAGGAAGAGCAGCTGGGCAATAACCAGGCTGGCTACAGAGTCATCAATCTGAACAGAGGTGAAAGAAAGATTAAGAATATAAATCACTGAGAAAACATGTTAAAAAAGAAAAGACAGACTTGGTCAATCTCATCATGCAGGTGGACACTTACAGGACCCATTACACAGATGATTCTCTCTCTCAGTAGTCGAGAATAGATGTCATACGCCCTTTCTCCTCTCCCCTGGAAAAACAAAAAGTAACGTACTAATATTATAATACAATATGCTGTTTTTGAAGTTAGTTTCTACTTTTACAGTTATATTTTTGATTATCCACAATTAAGGCTGGGCATTATTATCAAGTTAACGCATTATTTATTTAATGCTGACAATTATTTTAATCGCTTGTTAACGCAGTATATATTATTATTATTATTATTATTTTGAAAGTCCGTTTGCTACAAGTTCTGAATACACGTGCAGTCAAACCATGCGTCACAGGAGGGGTGGGATGTTGATCAGCCTGCAAATCACACACCCAAACAAGCAGTGGAGGGAGGCTTCGGCAGACTACGCTGGATGCAGTGTGTGGGAGACGTAGATAAACAAAAGCAAGACAAGCGATCAAACGCCATAGTGAAGTGGAGAGCGGCACACTGCATGCTCATTAGTGTTGGGGAAGATGTCGGTCTGAGGAACGTTCTTAAAGTTACAAAGTAGTCTCTTGGCCCTGCGGGTTCTCTCAGGTGAACAGAAAAGAGAGGGAGACAAACGCTCACGAGTAAACGGCAGGCGCTCTACGGATAGTAACCATGGCAACAGCTTCTGTGCGCTACACAGCTGTACCCTTTTTAACGCAAGTTAAAATGATAGGCTACATAACTTTACCTGATAGGCCTAAATCTAGTTTTGCTTGGATGCTCTGCCATGCTCATAACTGTTTAGTAAACAGTAATAGATTGTAGAAACTCACTGCCAGTGAGGATCAGTCTCTCTTCCACTGATTTGTGCTGCGTGTCGCGTACAAAAAGTTCAAGACAATTCAACATTGGCAGCGGGCGGGCATGTGTGTGAGGCGACCACTTCACCTCAGTCTAACAGGGACACTTATGAACACAAACTGTTTCTGCTACTCCCTGACAAAAAGAAAAATGTCTCTGCTGATACCGAAACTGACACAAGAAAAAAACACAAGAAAACTGGACTCTGATGGCAACTTGTTTTTAACAAGCTATAAAAAGGTAACCCTGGCAGTGGCAAACAGCTTTAGTTTAATATTTGATTTGATTACATTAATGTTTAAGTTCAGATTCACAAGAAACATTTTATTACTACTATGTAAAGGGAATACTGCTGGTAAAAAGCACCTTACTTGTTTAAAGTGTTTGCAAACCACATGTTATTGCACTTTTGTGTATATAGCAGTATATTTTATTAAAAGTGTGCAATATACTACTTTAGTTACAATTTTGAGCATAACTATAACAGCTGTGAGAAGCTCCCCCATGTCTTTCACGCGTGGTTTTGTGGGACAATAGTGTCCATCAAAAGCACACAAGCCGTTCTCAGTCTACATGTTGGCAATTTGAGGATTTTGTGGCATCTGTTATTTTTCCAGTCTGAAAACACTGCAGTATATACTCAATATCTGCTTGTTTCTTCTTGTTTCATTCATGTGCACCAATGTGTGTTTCCCAGTACAAAACTACCTCAGACCAGCATAATGCAAAGCCTGTTGGGATCTGAGGACACAACTGGGTGCAGCTTTGAAAACAGCTCAGCAGTTTGTTGTAGCAAGTTGTCTCACTCACCGTCTGCTCCACAACTATGGGTATAAGAGGACTCCTCCATACAGGACTGTGGTGGATGGACCTGCTGTGTCTCAGTGCCACGCCTCCGATGTGCAACACCCTCTGAAAGACACAGACACGCAGAACACTCGCAATGGTTTCTATAGTATATTCAACAATTACAGCATCTTTTCCACATCAGGAAAAGGAATTAAAGTCATTGCAACAGCCTCCTAATAGTAAAAAATAAACATATGGGACTGATACATACATTAAAAAGATGACAACAAACTTAAATATAAAATAAAAAAAGGTAAGAAAAAAAGAAGGTGGCTGATGACATAAGGATTATTGCAATAATTAAGTTCATTTGCATTCTTGTTTTTTGTTATTACGCAACTGTTATTACGCAACTGTGTAAAACAGTGCTAGGTCAGTGGCAGACCATGTGTTTCTTTCCATCCAGCCTGAATAACAGAAAGATTTGTTTCTGTGTTCTGAGATGAGAAGTTGTCTGGGTAGAACAATATAACAGAATTTGCTATGGACTTCTGACATTATGACAATTTGGAAATCACAAACTAACAGATTTGTTGAAGGTTTTTTGGTTTCTGTAATGCCAGGTTATATAACGTTACACTTCCGCAAGTGCCCATCATGACCACTACGTTACACCCTTTTTATATACAGTCTGTGGTTAACGTTACACCTTATTAAGTGTCATGGCATCCAAAAAGCATCGACGAGTGAAAAAGACGCGGATTTATTTTTGACTGGTTAAGTTTGTATTCTATGTCTCTGTACCAGAAAGTCAGTAAGGTTACATGATGGACCTGACAGGTTTAGAGGTGATGTCATGAAGCAACGTTAACCTTACATAAGCTAAGTCACTAGCTAACACGCTCACCACGACAAGCTGTAATAACAGTAACTAGCGATTTTATTTAAACCCAGTTTACGGTCTGAACAACGCTGAAATGAAGGTTCCCTAAAACTGTAGGTTGTACTCACTCGTAACAGCATTTTTTTAAATATGTATTTTAAGTTTCACTCCTCCTCTGTGTGACCCCGAGCTGCACCGGAACCAGTTCTAGCTTGACCTTTGAACCGCTTTCTTCTTTGTAGGATTAAATGGCGCGTGATATCTAATTTTTCTCATTAGCGCCCTCTACATCACGTTTTTTTTTTGCTGTCTATTCACCTGAAATGAATCAAATTCCGCCACTTTCTCCACTAAATACTTGGCTACAATATTATATTCTACTGTATATAATAAGCCTATATATTATAAATACACGGCTAATTATATGCAGCTAGCTCACACATTATCACCTTCTTCAAATGTTGTGTTACACAAACAAAACATAGGCTAGTGTCTTTATTTTTGACTCATTTTAATTCAGTGTATATATTTTTTTGTGTTTGTCCAGTTTTACTTGTGTTATGATTCTCTTAGCATATTAGATCCCTGCTGGTTTCTATTAAACTGACATACAAAGGTTAAAGTCAAAAGATAAAGCGTTACATAGGCCTAGTGTTTGTTTAAAAAAAACAATAAACTATTTGGAGGTTTTGGGAAATGCCAAATTATGCTTTGGGAATATAGATGATTAAATGTGCACCAGGACCCCCAAGAATAGGAAAACCAAGGAGTTTAAAAATAAATAAGCTAGTGGAATGGAAGTGTATACATGCTATTTACTAAACTGGTCTTTGAAGGGCATCTATGGGCTACATAAACACCACAGACAAAACACTGCTATATAGATTCAAATGCATAATTTTTGCATAAATCAAACAGAATTATACTGTATTATAATATTACGTTTTAGAACAGCAACAGTTTAAACCTGGCAATGGTAAGAATTAAAAGATCAAAGAATATCTAGAGTAGTCTATGAATTTTCTTTTTGGACCTTTAACGCTCCAATATATATTACATACATATATATATATATATATATAAACATATATATTACATATATATTACATATACATATTACATATATTACATGTAGACTTGACATCATTCTTTATTTGTTTGAACTGAGCAGTGTTTCTTGAACACATGTGATCACCTAAATATTTGGCTCAGGCAAACATACACTCAACAATCACTTTACACCTGTTCAATTAGTTTACACAAATAGCTAATCAGCCAATCACATGGCAGCAACTCAGTGCCTTTAATGTAAATGTAAATGCTCCGTACTTGTATAGCGCCTTTCTAGTCTTTTCGACCACTCAAAGCGCTTTTACACTACATCTGCATTCACCAGTCATACACATTCATACACTGAGCCTAAGTGCTCAAACGGAAACTAACATTCACACTCATTCATACACTGGCGGAATAGCCGCCAGGGGCAATTCGGGGTTCAGTATCTTGCCCAAGGACACTTCGACACGCAACCTGGGGGAGCCAGGGATTGAACCGCCGACCAACCCGCTCTATCTCCTGAGCCACAGCCGCCCTTTAGGCATGTAGACGTGGTCAAGACAACTTGCTGAAGTTCAAACTGAGCATCAGAATGGGGAAGAAAGGGGATTTTAGTGACTTTGAATGTGGCATGGTTGTTGGTGCCAGACGGGCTGCTCTGAGTATTTCAGAAACTGCTGATCTACTGGGATTTTCACACACAGCCATCTCTAGGGTTTACAGAGAATGGTGCAGCTGCAGTTGTGTGGATGAAAACACCTTGTTGATGTCGGAGGTCAGAGGAGAATGGGCAGACTGGTTCCAGATGACAGAAAGGCAACACTAACTCAAATAACCACCCATTACAACCAAGGTATGCAGAACACCATCTCTGAACGCACAACACGTCCAACCTTGAAGCAGATGTCCTACAGCAGCAGAGGACCACACCGGGGGCCACTCCTGTCAGCTAAGAACAGGAAGCTGAGGCTAGAAGTCACACAGGCTCACCAAAACTGGACAACAGAAGATTTAAAAACGTTGCCTGGTCTGACGAGTCTGGATTTCAGCTGCAACATTCAGATGGTAGGGTCAGAGTTTGGCGTAAACAACATGAAAGCATGGATCCATCCTGCCTTGTATCAACAGTTCAGGCTGCTGGTGGTGGTGTAATGATGTGGGGGATATTTTCTTGGCACACTTTGGACCCCTTAGTACCAACTGAGAATTGTTTAAACGTGACAGCCTCCCTGAGTATTGTTGCTGACCACGTCCATCCCTTTCTGACCACAGTGTACCATCTTCTGATGGCTGCTTCCAGCAGGATAATGCTCCATGTCACAAAGCTCAAATCATCTCAAACTGGTTTCTTGAACATGACAATGAGTTGACTGCACTCCAGTGGCCTCCACAGTCACCAGATCTCAATCCAATAGAGCCCCTTTGGGATGTGGTGGAACAGGAGATTCTCATCATGGATGTGCAGCCTACAAATCTGCAGCAACTGTATGATGCTGTCATGTCAATGTGGACCAAAGTCTCTGAGGAAGGTTTACAACACCTTGTTGAAAGTATGTCATGAAAACTTAAGGCAGTTCTGAAGGCAAAGGGGGTCCAACCCGGTACTAGCAAGGTGTACCTAATAAAGTGGCCAGTGAGTGTATATTTTTATATATTTGATATATTTTTTCGTCAAATCGGTAGACTCAAGGAAGCACATTAATCACTGATTGTTTTAAAAGTCATACAATAATCATTCAATAACAATTAGGCTAAACATTAGTCCATTGGTTAGCCATGTGATAACCACTAATCCAAATAAATCTATTTTAATCTCATTCTTGGATCATTTACTTAAAATTAAAATTAATTAGAAAATTAAAAAATGTATCAAATAATAAGGTGGCACAGCACATTTGATTTGCACCCATAGTCTGATTGCACATATTCTGCAATTTCATCTATCTATTTATTAAGTAGTGTTTTTATAGGCCCACAGCAAAGCCCAGCCGCCTTTTCTGCCACAAGTAGACTACACATGTGCAGTGCAGATGTTGACACAGAAATGACGCCAATGAACGATTTAGAATAACGGCGTGTTTTTCAAGCAGGTGCAAATAATGACGTCCTGATGGCAACAGAGAAAATTCACTTGAGAGAATATATCCAGCAGAACCTGCTTTGTGGAGCGGCTTGTTTCTGTCTTTTACTGTGGGTCTCTGAAACCAGCAGATAAAAGTAGTCCCAATGTGTGTGTGTGTGTGTGTGTGTTTGGGATGTGGGTGGGGGGAGTGAAAAAAAGGGAGCGAATAGCAGGGCTTTTTATTTTGAAGGTCCTCACCGGAAGATGTCTTTTATTACATTACATTAGTGTGACAAAGTTACTTGGTCACTTTCTCAGTAACTTGGACTCAGTCATGTCAAACACCGGGGCCGCCAACAGCAGTTTAGTCATCGCCCAGAAGGCAGTGAAACAGCTTCGTCTAGAGGCCAGTGTCCGTCGGATAAAGGTATGTAGCCTATACACAACTCAAGACTTCCATTAAACTGCTTCAAACTTCTCCTGTGCGCGTGACTCCCGCGCTGAAGCGCATCAGGAGCTTTTGTGCCGCGTGCAACTAATCAGGCTACTATCTATCTGTCACTGTCAATTATTCTGTTAGGATTTCACACATTTGTATTAATTCAAAATGTCTCATATTTAAACTCTCACAGACAAAACATTCTACTACTACTTCCTCATATTTAAAGAATATATTTTTACATTTAGGTTTATGTTATAAATCATTTAAAGCTGCTGTGTGATTTCCTGGTTGTTCAGTGTGGTGCGTGAAATGGTAGCAGACAGACTTTTCTCTGCAAGTGCAGCACAGTGATAGCTTTGTTGATTGTGCTGCTGTGTGACTGGTGTGATTGTTGGGTGGCTACTTATTTTAGAACAGAAGTCAGACTAGTTTCAAGTGGGTCTGTGTTAAACTGCCCCAGCAGTATGATGAAACCCAGACTAAATAAATCACGGGAGAATTTCACTCAGTCTTGCATTTAGTTACAATCCAAACAGTCTTGTTTTTAAACAACCACCAGGCTTAAGACTTGAATTTGTGATATTGCCAAGCTGGTAGAATCGCACAGATTTAATTCATTTGACTACTGTGATGTGAGGCAAGAGGATATTTAAAGGAACAACCTGTAATATTTCCATATGTCATATAACCTATGGTAGCCTACTCTTTTCCACTGATTGTTATAATAATATTGACACAACCTCAAAGCGAGACTAACATTTGAATGAAGAAATAATAAAAGCTTCCTTCTTCTCTGGTTTGACCAGAAGCTTATGGTGCCAAAAGTTAGGCAGTGTCAGCAAACTTTAAGGAGCACTTTAAACATTAATAAGTCAATTCACTGACTCAATGCATCTTCTCTACTTGTGCTATAGTTTGTTTTAGCATTTACCATTAGCCCATAGTCTAATTGTCACTTGTGGTCACTAGTGTTGTGAAACTAAAATTGTGAAACTGGACTTATCAACAATCATTTAAAGCAGTAGGTTACTCCAGGGGATTTAGTACAGCACCTCCATAGAGTTGGCCAACTTGTGAATGAAAGATTTTTAAAAAGGTGATCAAAATTGAAGCAGCAGAGGTTGAAATATCTTTGATTTTTAGTCCTTGATGTTGGTCAAGCCCTCAAAACACGTACAGAGGGGAACCCTACACTTCCCATAATGCAACAAGGTGGCATCTGTCATAGACCCTCCCTTCCTAATCAGTTGCTCATGTCTTTCAAACGCAACACTCTCAGTTTGTAACGCAAATACCATCAGTGATATCGGTGAGGTGCCTATACAGAACCCAAAGGATATTAAAGGACAGTACCCACCCAGCCACAGCCTGTTCACCCTGCTGCCTTCTGGGAAGAGATCTAGAAGTTTCTGCTGCCACACCACCAGACTGCAGCTATCAGACTCTTAAACTCAAATTCATCCTCTGCACTGCGCCAGTGAATATAGTTTATTTCTGTTTTCCTTTTTTATGATTGCTTTTATATTACTCTATATTGTCTGCTACATAGCAGAAAGGAGTTACAAACTCAGTTTCTCTTTACAACCTGTTATCTTGTGACAAATAAGTCTACCCTGTTCCTTGTAATAAATTCGCAGTCTCCACGGCACGATAACCCTGATTACATCATTATGACATCATTCAAGTTGTTTTTTCAGCTCCCTTTAGAGCCACACAAGGCATTAACTGTTGTTGTCGTATTCTCCATGATGAGTAAACTGACCAAAATCAAGTAAAGGGGTACTCCAGTGTTGCCATAAAGTTGGAGGTCTAGCAGCAGAGGCAGATATATGCAGATTTTTAATCCATAGCAGGGTCCAAAAACACTGCATTATACACTTCCCATAATACAACTTGATAGCGTCTTTTGAATGACTGCACGCGAACATCCATGTTAAAAGTGAGTAATGCCGGCTTTCTGTTAAAGATTTTAAGTGCCTAGTCCAAAGTGAGATAGCCTTGAAAATATCATCAGGGTTATTTAATATTTTGGTTAGACCCACTGAGTTTGTAAGATGAGCGCTTCCAAAATTCCTCCGAGCTAACTGTTGATGTTTTTGACACTTAAATACTAAGAGGAAGACATAAAGACACTCAATGTGTACACCCAGCAAAATAAAATATGAATGCAGTAAGTTAAATTGTGCCATCACTTTGAAGAACATGATTTTATCAACTGGGATATTGTACAGGTTTCTCAGGCTGCTGCAGAACTGAAGACCTTCTGTTTGCAAAATGCCCACAAAGACCCTCTCCTCACCGGGGTGCCCTCCAGTGATAACCCATTCAGGCCTCCCAAGTCATGTGTCCTGCTCTGAGGGGTGAGGGGTTCTCTTTGCTTGAATTGATTGGTTATTTTTATGTTCTTAAATAATTCTGTTTATTCCCCTCCAATACCTTTTCTATTGTACCTCTTCCAACTACTAAACAATTAGCTGCTATCTTTTTAAGAGCACAAGACGCATCCCTTCAAGCTACATTTATTTCTTGTCTTTTTAGGGCTGTGAAGTGAGTGCAAAACACTTGGACGCCTGATCATTCCAATGTGGATTTCTGTCATGTGCCCCACTGCCTCTGAGGATAACGAAGCCTAGACCATACACACACACAGATCGTCCCTGGAGCAGTTATGGAATGGTGCTGACATTTTCAGCAGAAAAATGTTTCAAATGTATTCTACATATTTTGACAGAATGTGTTTCTGTATGTTTATAATACAAGCCACTGGTTTCATGTTTTGCTCTTTTCAGGGTTCAGAGGTCTTTTACCACTTGTTTTACAGTAGACCTACACTTTTTACAGTGGTTGCAGATACCAGATTCCTTTAAAATTAGTTTCTATTTGTGAACATTGCCCAAAGCAGATCTAAAAGAAATCGGATCCCATGTCTTTTATCTTGTATATATTTGTAATGTACACTGAACAAAATTTTAAACACAACACTTTTGTTTTTGCCCCCATTCGTCATGAGCTGAACTCAAAGACTTTCTCTGTGTACACAAAAGGCCTATTTCGCTCAAATATTGCATATCAAGATGCCGATCAGATAGCATAAACTCTAATTCATCCTCAGCACTGCTCCAGTGATGATAATTTATTTCTGTTTACCATTTTTCATAATTGATTCTTTATTCATGTATATTGTCTGCTATGTAGTAGAAGGGAGTTACAAAACTCCATTTCACTCTACAACTTGTTGCATTGTGACAATAAACCTACCTACCTATTGCACAGGCATAGGTAGGCTGGCCACAATAAAAGGCCACTCAAAAATGTGCATCATTTTTTCCAGTGTATATTATGTACATCGGTGCCATGAGCAAAAACCAAAACTGGGTCATTTACACCAGACAGACCCCCACCAACTGCATTGGCAGTACCTAACAAAATTCAAAAGGACTATTTAACAGCTGTTTTGAGATATTGATTTCTGTCATTAGAGCCTTTAGATGTCTGGAATCAATCATTTTGTTCTCGCTAGGCAAACATAATTTATAAAACAAAAGGAACCTTTGGTTGGGAAAAGAGGAAGAATGTAAACCTGACAAGCTGTTGTAAGATGATAAGTAACTACTGATCTTGTTGCTCACAGTGTGCCCACATGGCCCCGTTTGTACAGTTCAAAAACCTCTCACCTTATGTGCACTGTTAAACCATTAAAGGTTACCATGTGTTTGTTTTTGTCATCTGTCTATGAAGCTGTTTCTGTATTAACTATAATACAGTAATGTTTTAATAATGTTTAAGTATTAACTATACCAAACTTAACTGATGGAAAACTGTTTCAAAGCATACCGCAGAGGAATTATGTTAAAATAATGTGTTTCTTACTGTCTGGTAAAATAAGTATAACAAAACATGTTTACTTGGAATTTCAAGACCTGTCAGTGCTCAGTTGTCCTAGATGCCATTATGTGATGTCACATACATACATTACATTGCAGCATACTTTAAGCTTTGCATGACTTTGTCTTTGAAACATAAAGCTGCACTTTGACAAAGTGTAATTAGGGTGTTGATGTACTTTGAAGTGGAATAGAGCATCAATATGCAATTACTGTGACCATGCTACTTTTGTCTTACAATGACGATCTGAAAAGTGGACACGGGTAGAAACAATGGATCGAGTTAGAGAGTAAGCAATGAGATATTTTGTCTTAACTGAAAACCTTGATCCCTATATTATCTGAATGTACATAATAACCAGTAAATGTTTTACAATGCCATGTTATCAAACCTGCAAACTGTTCTGTTTAATAAAATCTTTGCGCTCATGGGTTAGATGAAGTCATGACGTATGCGTATGACGAACGTGTTTACACAATACCCTCCTTCAAACGCCCGGTGGCGCTGTTGGGCGCTTTATCATGTAGATGCCCAGTCTACCTCCAGCAGAGAGCAGTGCGTGGTTGGATGTGAGCGCCACCGACCTGTCTCTACTTCCAGATCGAAGATGGCGGTGTCGGTGTTCCCCGGCGTGCGGCTCCTCTCCATCGGAGACGCGAATGGAGACATACAGCGACACTCAGAGCAGCAGCCCCTGCGGTTAGAAGTCAAAAGCACACAAGATGCTGCCCTCATCAATCTCTCCAATGGTGAGTTGACCTTTTCTGTAGCTGCTCCTCGGATGTTCGGCCTGCCTTAACTGCCAGTGCTAATGCTATGCAGTGCTAATGCTTATACAGCTAATCTGGTAGCATTAGCCACCAAGAAGCTAATCCGTCTTGAGAGACCACGTCGCCTCCCCCTGGGTATCACGAGGGAGCCCTTAAAAGTCCAGTTTTTTCGTCGTCCGATGGGGCTTTTGATGCTTGTTAAACTCTGGCTCCACAAGTTCACCGCCTCGGAGAGCTCGACAAAAATACAACGCAACACATGCAACGTAGCTTAACGTTAGTTAGTCGCACCAATAAGCAAAGGCAGCTAAGTAGTGTGTAGTTAAATGCTAGTTAAACAATGCCACTAGCCCGGTCTCAGCAATGATGCGCTAACGTGCAGCAGACCTGCTCGCCTCTAACGTCTTTTGCCCCTTGATGTTTATCGCTAACTGTTATTTTCTCATATAAATATGCCCATTTCTTTTGTAAATGAACCTCTCCGGTTTGTCCCAATGAGACACAGGTAATGTTATTTTTATGTTTAGCTTGTGTATTAACGTTAGCGTGTCTGGGTTGTTTCGGAGCAGAGGGCATCACTCGTGAGTGCTGCCCCGCCACAGTGCTCTGCTGTCCGGGCGGCTGCATTTAGCCAACATCCCGCTCTGTAAGAAAGCGGTAAACACATACACTTATAAATATTTTACTTTTTAAAGGGAAAAGCACTCTTTGCGTTTTGGGTTGCGTAGCGAGACCGGGCCCTCATTACTTATGCATTCATCTTTGTTCTCATTGGAACAATAGCCGGGTCCCCCCCCCCCCCGACTTCCTTGTTGTGTGGCGGCAGCGTCCGAGCGAGCCGCCCCGCTCCTCCGCAGCTTTTCTTATTCAATGGGATGTCCCGCTGAAAAGGAGCAGCTGCGCAGGCCTCCTCTGCTGTGATCTGTGATCCTCACGTTATAGAAAAGCACACGGACGTGTACTGTAGGCATTTGGGCAACTCTGCATCAACACATCTCTTGCAGCACACATTAAAAGGTGCACTTTAATTTAGGCCCTTAAAAATAAAAGTAATATGATTCAAAAAGGAAAAAAAATATGTAAAAGGTGGGTAGCAAATATTGTGTTAAGTAGCCAGGAATAATTACATATACATTACAAAGTGTGTATGTTAAAGATTTGGACAAGGTTGTCTGAAAAGATCTTCTGCTGTGCCACTGAAAATGATATCGCTATGAAGATGAATGGTCTGCCCTTTTAGGTGAGTGAGAAGATATTCTCATGTATCGGAGTGGTTGCTAAAATGTAAACGAACAACCTAATAATATAATTTCCTCTGTGCTTAATATAAACTGATTAATCTATCCAGTCAGTTTTGTATCTTGTTGCCTCAGCTGTAATGAAGTCCTGTCTTAGAAAACCTCTAGAATATAAAGCAACTAAAGTAAGGTGAACTGACATTATACATCAAAGTCTGTTTACAGGTCAGGTAGAAGGTTTGCTAAGCACAGGCTGTCAGACTTTTTTATACCAAGGTAAAGTCACATTTTGATGGAGGAGGCGTGGAGACTGACTGAATGTTAAGAGGTGTGGATCTTTACTGGCCTCATGATTCAATTGCGATTCAACTGCTTAACGAAGTTTGATGCATCTCAATGTATAGCATTCTCAGTTTTCTAGATTTTCTGCACTGCTTACCTTTTAGGGGTGGTGATGAAAGTGTATAAGAGACATGCCTTTGGTGTGGGAGACCTGGGTTTTATTCCCACCATGACATCCACCAGTGTGTCCCTGAGCAAGACACGTAACCCCTAATTGCTCCAAAGGCGTGCGACCTCTGACAGATAGCAATTGTAAATCGCTTTAGATAAAAGCGTCAGTTAAATGACTAATTATTACTTTTCATCAGTTGATACAGTCAGATAAATCTGAACTCATTTTAATTTAGAAAGTGCTTTCAACATTCAGACTACAACAGTCTGTAACATGAAAAGCTGCATCTATTCAATACCTGTATCTGCATGATACCTTAGCACAAAAAAGCCTCAGGATGACAGGGTTCCTCAAATTTGTTATATTACCAATATATTACAATTTGATGAGGCAGATTTTACACATATCTCCGCCATATCTCCCAACCTTTAAAAATAACATTAGCCTAATATTTGCCCACAGTTAAATGCAAGACAGTGATGTTGCAACACAATGATTACCTGGAACCGGAAAACCAACGATCAATATTAGTAGGCTGTAATTTTCTAGGCTGCAAATTGCTAATATGTTTTGTCACTGCATCGATACAGAATCTTCCACGTCAGCATCGTGATGCATCCTAGAATTGGGAAATTCCCACACCTCTACTGAACGTGATGTTAATCAGTGCAGGGCATTTTGCTAATATTTAACCAAGTTTAATTAACCGATTCTGTCAAGACTTCCCTCTGTACTGTGAAGGACGTTAAGATTGTGCATGAACTCACAGTGGGTTCTAATCCACGGCTCCCAACATGGGCCGAGGTTGCCGAAAGATTTATTCATTTTAAAAATTTTTGTACATTTTAAAGGTTACGTTTTTATGTTTTGAGACGAGAAATAAATAAACGGTGAAATCACCACTCTAAAAACTCTTTCAATGTGTCTGCATTAAACATGACTGCTCATATTTGCCATCATTAGAGTAACATTACACACTTTACAGCAGTTATGTTTTCCAGATTCACAGCAGTCACAAACGCAAGCAGCCAGAGCAAGCAGTGGAAAGATTTGTCAATAGAACTTAGAGAAACACAGTTCAAGATGAGCAAATCTTACTTAAAAAAAAGAAAAACATATATTTAACTTAATAGCATACTTGCTTTTCATTCATTGTTTATTTTATTTGTTTTATTTTATTATTAATCAACACAACTGTAGCCTACAACTGCTGATGCTGTATTATTTCGCTCAACATTGATGTTGGTTCATATGATCTTTTACATCACTTTTATTTGTTTTGTCAGGTTGTAAAAATAAATTCTTAAAACATATCTCTCGTGTAATTTATAGTTGAAAAGTGTGTGTTCATGATGTATGAGTGGGCAGGAAAGGGTACCATGACAAAAAAAAAACACTACGAAGTTTGGAAAATCAGCAGCTTCTGCTTTTTCCACCCTGTCATGTTCAGGTCCTGAAGTCTACAGCTGCTTATTCAGTCTAATGCTAAGCTGTCAGCAGCAGGCTAGCATGTAGCCACCCCATTCAATCTCGTACATGTTTATTGATGATGTAGAGCAGCAGAACCAATAGTGGCGTATGCCTATCTGTGTGACAGATGAGCTGTGAGAGTCGGTGTGATTGAGACTGCAAGAAAAGCAGTAACAAGGAAACGGCTTAGTGGGGGAAAAAAAGTGAAGTTGATCCTATTCAAACATGACAGCTGCGCTAACTCATTTAGTCAAGGTTCAAAATATTGTCAGGACAGAAGGCTCATTTCTCTCACTGAATTGCAGAAGCAAGCAGAGGAAGAGGGAAATGTCAGCATTTTGTGTGTAGAACTTTGGCCTTCTCTGATTTTATTTAATAGAGGTACTTTTATCAGAACGAGAAAGAGAAAATATCCTGCGTAGTCATTAATAGGCATGTCCACTGATTTTTAAGCACACATGTCAGTTGTACTGAGCGTTTGGAAGCAGTTGTTTAATGTCTTCTGTGGCTCTGATAGAGGTTTGTGTTGTGGGATTGGGCTGTGTGACAAACTGGAGGGCAGGCGTTCAAAAGATGTAGGCATTTTACAGGCAGGGAGTCTCTAACTGACAAAAATAAAATATTTGTTGCATTATGGGAAATGTACGTCATGTTTTAATAATCATGCAATTCATAATTTTATAATTTCAGTGTTTTACATCACATCAGGTAATGGTGACGAGGAAAAATGTTCCTCAGCTGGAGTGTGCCGTCTCGTGTTTGATGACCTTAGATCAGAAACACAGAATCAAAAATTCTTTATTGATCCCTGAAGGGAAATTTGTTAGATATGTGTTTGGGGAACATGAACATCATTTACCCAAAGTAGAAATAAATGCATGCAACCCTGGATCATCTGTATTTGTATTGATAAACATGTTTTGTCACATTGTCACCTGGTCAACAGTGCAAGTGGCTGGTAGCAGAAGTGAGGTGTGGCTGGCGTCTTTTCCAGAAGATGCAAACATGAAGTGCTGCTTTTAATCCCTTAATATGTGCTGGATTAGCTCAGGCTGCTTTGAGTCTGTACTGGGCCTGCTGCACGACCAGGATGTTTTTCCAGCCTGGAGAAGTGTTTGCACGGGCAATAATAACATTGATGTTTTTAAGTTTGTACTAGTTGTTCCTTCTGCTGCTCTCAACACACAGTCATCGTTCATTCTTGCACAGTTAGGAAACCAACTTCCAAAGAGTGAAAAATCCCATCACACTAAACCCTCAAGCGTTCTGCTTTATCATTCTTTTATTGCGAGGGAGTTGCATGCTTTCATGTCGCTGGCTGCTTTACATCACACTGTAATCTGTCAGTGACCTGCCACAGGAAGGAAAGCAAGTCTGCAGGAAACATGGAGTCACCTTACTAACTCCTTTGTTATCTAGGCCATCTTTATTAAGCAAAATAAATGTTGTGTTAAAAAAATCACAAATAAAAAAATAAAAAAATAAAAAAATAAATAAAT